GGGTGTAGTTATTTATGTTAAGCAAAACTTATCAGCCTGCTTGTTAGAATCTGATCTTCAAGGGAGATATGTTATGATTGAAGTTGGTTTATATGGTAAGAAAATACTTATAGTCGGACTGTATGCACCAAACCAACAACAGGAACAATTTTATAGATTGTTGCATCAGAAACTAACTTTGTTGGATTATAGATCTGTGATATTAATGGGAGATTGGAATGGTGTGTTAGATATACAAAGAGACAAAAAAGGATCTTCTACTTTTTTCAAACAGGCTAAACTACCCAAAGCTTTTTTTGATTTGAAAGAGGACTGGGAGTTGCAAGATTATTGGCGTGAACGCAACTAGGAGGAAAGAGACTTTACTTTCTTTTCAGACAGACATCAATCCTTTTCAAGAATTGACTTTTTTTGATTACAACTGATTTATATTTCAGGGTAAAGAATGTGAAAATTTTTCCTAGGACGTTGACAGATCACAGTCCAGTCTGGATGGAGTTGGTTGATGAAAGAGAGGAGAGGAGATCGTGGAGGGTGAATGAGAATTTATTTAGACAAGAAAAGAATATTCAAAAATTAAAAGAACATTTAAAGGACTATTTTGTTTTAAATATGCATAAAGGAACTTCAATGTCAATGGTATGGGATGCAGGTAAAGCCTTCATGCGTGGGATTTTGATACAAATGAATAGTGCTCAGAGACAAAAGCAGATTCAGAAACGTAAGGATTTGGAAGATGAAATTAAACTAAAAGAAAAATCTCTGATTCTAAATCCCACGGATGAAAAGGTTAAAGAATCCATAAAATTGCTCAAAACACAATTTAATATGTTGATGGCTGATCAAACCGCAACTAACTTATTGTATATGAAACAAAATACATTTTGTAATGCCAACAAACCAGGGAGATGGTTGGCTTATCAATTGAGAAAGAAACAGAGACAGAGAATTATAGATAAAATAAATTATAAAGGTAAATTGGTGTACCAGAAGGAGTTGATCAAGAAACCTTTTTTAGATTATTATCAAAAACTATATAAGAGTACTAATGTACAAACTTTAGATATAAATAATTATTTAAGTGAAGCCAACTTTCCCAAATTAACAGAAGATCAGAAACAAGAAATTAATGGTTTAATTACCACTGAGGAAATTGTGACAGTGATTAAGGAATTAAAATTAGGTAAAGCACCGGGTACGAATGGCTTGACATCTATTTATTACAAAACTTTGTTAGAAGAGATGATTCAGCCTTTATGTGAGCTTTTTAATAATATATTACAGGGTTTAGAGATTCCTCCGTCATGGCGTAGAGCTTTCATATCTTTAATTCCAAAAGAAGATCAAGATCTTACTTTACCGAAGAATTATAGACCTATATCTCTTTTGAATGTAGATTATAAGATTTTTGCAAAAATCTTAGCCAACAGGCTTATGAGGGTTTTCCACCAGCTTATACATAAGGACCAAACGGGTTTTATAACTGGCAGGTATATGAAGAATAATGTTAGACAAATTATTAACTTACTAGAATACTTAGATAAGAATAACCAAGTTTCTGCAGGATTGATATTTTTAGACGCTGAAAAAGCCTTTGACCAATTGAATTGGCAGTTTATGTTAAGATTAATTGAGGATATGAATTTTGGAGAAAAAATCTTACAAGCTCTTGGTGCTATATATCAAAAACAAACGGCACAACTTATAGTTAACGGGGGCTTGTCAGAGGTTTTCACAATAGAAAAAGGGACAAGACAGGGATGTCCATTGTCACCACTACTGTTTGTTTTAACTTTGGAAATTCTGCTGATTAAAGTTCGAGAATCCCAGGAAATAAAAGGAATAGAAGTTAATAAAAAAGAATATAAACTAAGAACTTTTGCAGATGACTTGGTGGTTACTTTGTCTCAACCTACCCATTCTGTAGTAGAGTTGTTACAATTGATTTATCAATATGGACGGGTTTCGGGATTTAAAATTAATAATAATAAGACTAAAATATTACCCAAAAATATGAGTAATTTGGATAAGCAGACTTTGGTTAACTTGACAGATTTCGAGGTTGTTGATAAGATAAAATATTGGGGGGTTACTTTATCTGTTTCTAATGCAAAGTTGTATAAAAATAATTATGAAAGGTTGTGGGTCAGGGTACAAAGAGACTTGAAAAATTGGGAGAAGTTGCAATTATCCCTTATGGGAAGAATTGTGGTGATTAAAATGAATATCCTGCCAAAGTTTCTCTTTTTATTTCAAATGATACCCATCCTAAAGAATGAGGTCAATTTAAATGAATGGCAGAAAGGTATCAATAAATTTATTTGGGCAGGGAAAAAACCAAGAGTAAAGCTTAAAATTATGCAAGATATTCGTGAGAGAGGTGGACTCAAGGTGCCGAATTTGAAATTGTACTATGATGCTGTGGCTTTAACATTACTTAGTGACTGGGTTAATTTAACAAATGTAGAAATACTTTACTTGGAGGGTTGGGATTTACTTTTTGGATGGCATGCCTATTTAATTTTTAATAAAAAAGTTGACCGGGTTTTTAGATCTCATATTATAAGGATTTCCTTACTTCGGGTTTGGAGGAAATATTATAAAAGTGATTTTAAAATACCATTATGGGCTATACCTTGGCATGCGATAGAGGGGATAAGGAGAGGAGTTAAGATGGAAAGTGTTTCTTATGCACAACTACTCAGATGGGATGGTAAAAATTGGCAGTTAAAATCTTTGGAAGATTTAGCACATGAAAACATGAAATATTCATGGTTTCAGTATAGACAAATAGTGGATAGATGGAAGATAGATCGTAATATGGGTTTGCTTAGAGAAGATGAAATTTTTTTTTAAACAAGTAAAAGACCAAAGGCGAACTCATATTAAGAGAATTTATGGGGTACTAGTAGAACTGGATTCAGAACCAGAACTGATTAAAGAATGTATGATTAAATGGGCACAAAATTTTGGTGAACCAGTTTTACTAGATACCTGGGAAACCATCTGGGTGAGGAATGTCAAATTTACACAAGCCCAGAACTTAAGGGAGAATTTTTACAAAATGTTTTATAGATGGCACCTTGATCCACAAAAAATGTCTCATATGTATCCTGACTTACAGCCTAAATGTTGGAGATGTGGTTGTTTGGATGCTACTTATTATCATATTTGATGGTCATGTAAAAATATAAAAGCTTTTTGGATTAAGATATGGTGGAATATTCAAAAATTTTTTAGAAGGAGGGTAAAATTTACCCCACAATTGTTTTTGTTGGGTATCGTTATTGATTGTGATGTTAAGGAGGTTATACTGATGTTAAATTTAATCACAGCCGCAAGGTTGTTAGTAGGGCAGTACTGGAAGAAGGAATCTTTGCCTACCTTGCAAGAATGGTTTTTTAAAGTTTCTTATTTGGCGGAAATGGCAAAGATTTCGGCTTTTTTAAAGGACCAATCGCAAGAGAAGTTCTTTGCGGTATGGCTAAAATGGATAGACTTTATACAACATAAGTTGGATATAAAAAAATATCACTTAGCTTTTCAATAATTTATATATAAATCTTACTATTTTATAGATTGTATTTTTTTTCTTTTCTCTTTTTTTTCCTCTTTCCTTATATTCTTTATTTTTATCTTATCTTTATTACCTCTTTTTATATATATATATATATATATATATATATATATATATATATATATATATATATATATCTTTCTTTTTTCTTTTACTCTTTTTCTTTTTAAGCATCTTTTTTTAATAATACTTATGCTTTTTTTTACATATATATTATTGTTAATTATCTTATAAGCCTATGTAATGTATTTAGATATACTTATGGTTTATATTTTTTAATTTTTTTAAGATTTTTTAGAAATCTTAACTAAGCCTATATTCAGCTCTGGGAAGGTTGGGGGGGATGGGGTGGGAGGGTTGGGGTGGTTGGGTAGGGTTGTTTTTTGTTTTTCTTTTTCTATTTGTAAAATTTTAAAAATTTTCAATAAAAAAAAAAGAAAGACCCTCAACTCCATTTGTAGTAAAGATATATTTTACTAAAGTGCTTACGGCATGAGCAAAGCTAGATCTGAGATTTCCTGCATAAACCAGGCCTTCCCCTCTTGGTAAGCTTGGTAGTGTCCAGTAAGGTTCAAATTAGGTGTTTTGTAACAGTTTTAAAGTTTGATGGCTCTTTGGTAGGTGTTCTCATTCTGTTCCCAAGGCAGTGTCCTTGAATCTTTCAGTCATTGTCTCTGGTGGGCACTTCTGTTTCCTGTCATCCCCCCTCCCTATATCCTTTCTTCCTCCCTTTCCATTCTTTATAGCATACTGCTATCACAGTGAAGTAGGGCTGAAGTGGTTTGATGGCAGATCTGTTCATCCAACTGCCTCTAGGAGTTATGTAGGGTTTTCCTTTAAGTCTTTCCTTCAGGTAGCCAACAAGGAACAAAATAGTTTTTCAAGGACCCAGCATCTCTCATTTGTTACACATGTGCTGTAGTTGGCTAAGCTGGTTTTTTCCTGAAAAAAGCGTCTAAAGGCTAGGGAACTGGTTCTTTTTTGTCCCAGAAAGGCAGGGCACCCTGGCAGGAGGAAGGGCAGGGGCAGAATTGGAAAGGGCATGCATGCGCAGTTTTCCTTCCCCATTGTTTTTTGCTGCCTAGTCAGTTGTGTGATGGATCAGCATGCAAGGCCTCCAAGAGACGGGAAGGTAGAGTATCTTGGGGTGGATGAGGCCTTGGGAGGCCTGAGGCAGATGGGCCTATGCCTGCACTAGGCCTCCCAGGATCTTTACTTAATGACCTGTGCATTTGTTTAACTAAGACACTGGGGAGAGCAGGAATGGCTGTTAGTTACTGAGGCAAGTTCATTTAACATTGTTCTGACTTTCAGCTCTAATGGGCAGACTTCATTATGGTCATAACTCAGGATTATCTGTAACGATTTATAATAAACTGTCTTGTAAACATCACTTATATACCCCCCCTCTGTGTAATTGCAGGGAATCCAAACTGCATCAAGCTTATCAGCAGCTAACATAGCCTCCCTAGGTGGAACCTTTTCTCGCCGAGGCAGTGGGGATATTTCTATTTCAATTGATACAGAAACATCTGTTAGAGAAATTAAGGTAAGGTCTTTGTCAAAGAAGAAAGCTGAAAGGGTTTGTTTGGGGTCTGTCCCATATAAATAAAAGAGAAGAGTCATATCATAATTTTCCTTAGAAACATAGAATCATAGGGCTGGAAGGGACTTTGGAGGGCAACCCCAGCTCAAGACAGGACACCTTATACAATCCTGAATAAATGGTTGTCCAGTCAGTACTTAAAAACCTCCAGTAATGGAGCACTCACAACTTTGGGCGGCAAGCTATTCCATTGATTAATTGTTCTCGCTGTCAGGAAATTTCTCTTTAGTTCTAGGTTGGATCTCTTTTTAATGAGCTTCCACCTATTGCTTCTTGTCCTGCTCTCTGGTGTTTTGGAGAATAAGTTGACTCCTCTCTTCTCTGTGACAGTCCCTCAAGTACAGGAAGACAACTATTAGGTTACCATTAATCCTTCTGTTTGATAGCTAGACTTACCTGGTTTCATTAACTGTTCATCATAAGGTTTAGCCTCCAGATCCCTTATTCTATTTGTTGCTCTTCTCTGCATACTTTCTAGGGTCTCAGCAACTCTGTGGAGACCAGAACTGACCGCAATATTCAAAGTGTGGCCTCATTTGTCCAGTATAAAATAGTACTATCACCTCTCGTCATCTTGATACTATTCCTCTGTTGATGCATTGTTTTTTTTGACAGCTGCAGCAAACTCTTGATTTATATTTAAATGGTGGTCCACCAGGACACCTAGATCTGTCTCACAGGTACTACTAGTTGAGCCAGATGCTGCCAACTCTATACATTTGGTTTTTCTGCCTGTGCAGAACATTACTTTTCTCATTACTGATTTGCATCTTGTTGGATAGGGCTCAAGTCTGTCAAGATCCTTCTGAATCTTGAGTATTTTCTAGCAATTCTCTCCAGCTTGATGTCATTTGCAAATTTGATGAGTTCCCCTTCTGTCCCCTCATCTAGATCATTTATGAAGATGCTGAAGAGCACTGTGACCTAGATAGAATTTTGTGGTACCTCACTGCATGGTTCCTTCCATGTAGACATTGTTCCACTGAGGACTACATGCTGGGTGCAGTTGGTCAACCAATTTTGAATCCATCTAATGGTGATATTCTCTATCTGTTCTATCCTATCTAGAGGTAGACTGTAGTCTACTATGTCCGCAGCTTTTCTTTAAACATTAATTTAGTCACTTTAGCAAAGAAAGCAATAAGATTTGTCTTGCATGATCTGTTTTAACAAACCCATGCTGGCTTTTAGTAATTGACGCATTCATTTCTAGGTCTTCATTGATCCACCACTTGATTTTCTTTTCCAGTACTTTCCCAGCTATTGATGTCCATTGATTAGCTTATAGTTTCCTGGGTCCAGTTTCTTCCTCTTTTTGAAGATTGGAATCACATAAGCTCTTTTTCAGTCTTCTCATAGTTTCCCTGTGCTTTGAAAGAATTACATTCATTTGTTCTGAGATCACATGTGCCAGAACCCTGGGATATAAACCATTGGATCCAAGTGATTTGTATTCATACAGGTTGGATAGGTGTTGTCTTACCAGATCCTTGCCTATTTTGCATTCCTGTTCTATTTCTCTCAGTGTTGCTTTTGATAGGTTGGGCTATTTCTTCCTTTTGCATAAAGACAGATGCAGAGAAGGACTTAAGCAGTTCTGTTACGTCCCTGCTGCCTGTCATCTTCTTGCCATCTACTCCCATTAATGGACCTGTTGTTTCTTGTTCCTTTTTTTTTGATTATTTTGGCATTTGTTGTCAATCTTAGCTCATTCTAGGCCTTAGCTTTCCTGACTCCATTATTTGTAGATTTGGGCTATTTGCTGTTGGCATTTTGTTTAGTTATGTGCCCCTCTTTCTATTTTTTTATACTTGTCCTTTTTATCCCTCAATTTCTCAGAGAGCTCTTTGTGCAACCACGCCGGATTTTTCTTTCTCTGTAGTATTATTTCTGTTCGGAATAATTATTATTTCATTTTTCAGAGTTTCCCAAACATCTTGAACTGTTTTCGCTCTAGGAAAATGAATTTATTTATTTATTTGTTTATTAAATTTATTTGCCACCTTTCTCGTGTTGGAAGAACTCTGGGTGGCTTATAACATTAAAACATTAAAACTCTTAAGAGTTATTTCTAAAACAATAAAAATGGAATTCCCATTGAAAATAAAATTATAGTTAAAAGATGTGGAGGGAAGGAACAGGATGCTTGGGGCAAAGGTAATTCATCAATCACCTCCAGTGTGATGCTTCCCCATTGGGGCCCCAAGCATCTCCTAGAGCAATGGTTCTCAACCTTTTTAATGCTGCGACTCCCCAACCGGTCGTAAGTTGAGGACTACTCAACCGGTCGTAAGTCGAGGACTACTCAACTGGTGCAGCACCATTTGCAGAATGGGACTTTTGGCAGGCTCAGCAGGGCAGAGACAGAGGCTTTTGAAAGCCAATAGAATGAGACTATTCAAGAGAGTCTATTCTATTGGCTTTCAAAAGCCAATAGAATAAAAGGGAGTAGCACAGCTAAGGAAAAGGGGGAAAATGGCGGACTGCGTTGTTTGGCGACCCCCGTGAAATGGTTGTTCGACCCCAAATGGGGTCCCGACCCACAGGTCGAGAACCACTGTCCCAGAGCTAGGTCTTGATGCTCTTCCCGAAGGTCAGAAGAGTGGGAGCCAATCTCACTTCAGGCAGTAAGCTGTTGCAAAGGGCAGGAACAAAGTTAGAGAAGGCCTTTCTCCTGGACCCTGCCATTTGGAATTCCTTGACTCATGGGGCCCACAGCATACCTCCTCTCCCAGTGGGGATGGAACAGGTCAGTCCCAGTGGGATGAGATGGTTCCTCAGGTAACCTGGACCCATGCCATGCAGGGTTTTTTTAAAGGTAATAATCAATAACTTGAAATGCACCCAGAAGCAGACCAGCAGCCAGTGCACCTTGTGGAGCAGTGGTATAAATTACTAATAAAATAATAAAAGCATAGAATTTTTTGTAAAGGCATCCTCTTTATTACACTGAGTTTTCCACTGTTTTATTTTTCATAATGTTTTGCAATTTTCTTCAGAATATCAGTGAGTTAAAGAACAAAATTGAGAATTTAGAAGGAAAATACATGCAGGATTGAAAGAAATGAAGGTACCGGTTTACTAAAGAATACGTGTGCAGGTCTCACTGATTTAGTTTCCAGATATGAAAAAAGATCTGGGTTGAATTTAATCCACATGCCTTGTTTGAGGATTTTGCATACTTTGCAGTGTCTTGGTAAACTTAAATTGTTCAGTTTGGGGCAATATACATTTCTAAAGTACCTAACAGTGTCAAAAGCATAACAATTATTAGATTCTTTGTTTGCATCTTTGCTACTTTGGAGTATATATTTAATATGAATATATTTTGAAAATGTCTAAATTAAGCAGTTTCTATAACATAGATCATGTTGATGTAACATGAAGACAAAATATATATATTTAAAATATTGGTGTTTGTATGCCAGTGTTGAAGTTCAGAGAATTTAGATTTTTTTTCCTTAAAAAAATAGCTTGTTGGTAAACATGTAAGGAATGTCAAGAATACTTCATTAAGTTCATGTTGTATTTTAAATGTCTAATGTGCTAACATATCCTTGAAATTCAGTTGGCATGATTAGTTTGTGAGTATACAACTGCTGATTTATTTTCAGTTAATTAAGTGAGAAATCATTCAGAAAAGTTTTCAGTGCAGTTTCATCTTAATGCCATGTACCATGTGACATACCCTGTCTGATACTTCTGTAATAAACTCATTCAAATAGCATACTTTGCAAGAAATTGTCTGTTTTGCCTGTGATATGTCATCTATAAAATATTGGGAAATTTTAAAATAGTTCTTTTTATCAACTTTAAGAAAAAGGTCTTCTATCTTCTTAACTAGGAATTAGCAGGGCTGCATTTTTTAGATCAATGTCTTTTCAGAATAAGAAGATGGGCTAAAAATGTTTTATAGCTTTTGGGTCTGATAAATAAATTGAAAAAACTCCTTTGAGTTTTTCTTTTCCTTTAGGACTCTTTGGCTGAAGTTGAAGAAAAATATAAGAAGGCTATGGTTTCAAATGCTCAATTGGATAATGAGAAAACAAATTTTATGTACCAAGTAGAAACCCTACAGGATGCATTATTGGAACTAGAAGAGCAGCTTGCAGAATCTAAGAGGCAGTTTGAAGAGAAAAGCAAAGTAAGTAGTAATAAGTCTTCATAGTGTCTTTATCAGCTGTATGAAAGGTCTAGAGTTTAGGCAGCAATCATTAAAACACTCTTTTCCTAAATGAATATTATATTCGTAATAATATTGATGGAACTATTAACTAAATATAAAGGTGATTCATTTCCATTCCCTTATATGTTTAGGTAAATCCTGTGAGTATGACCGCATTACATAAAATGTTATGTCTAGGCTATGATAAAGGCTAGAACATATAGTGACATAAATTCATATGTGGCTTAGAATAAAAATCTTAAAAAATTCATGACTTAGCATATAGATTGGATAAAAGAAATACATGCCTGACTAAAAGCATTTAGAATATAGGAGCAATACAATAACATCTAATTATAAAATGTTCATTTTATAGGATTTTGAGAGGGAAAAACATGCTCATGCTATATTGCAATTCCAGTTCATGGAACTCAAAGAGGTTCTGAAACAAAAAGAAGAACTGCTTGCTGTAAGTACACAACTGAGTATAAATAACAGACTTTTGTCATTACATCAGAAGATAAAGATTGGTAACATTTTGCTCACAACCCACAAGTAACAAGTATATTGAGACTGCATGATTAAAAGTAACAAGTATATTGAGACTGCATGATTAAAATTCAGTGACAAAAGTGATTTTTCCTTGTGATGTTCTTCAACTTTGTTAGTACTTTAAAAATCAAAATGGATGCTCTGAGTCTGTGTGAACACATTAGTTCTGACTGGCAAAACTCTCTCTAACCGCACCAATAGTAGGCTGATCTTGGCTCTTCCCACCTAGTGAACTCATTGTCCCATTGTAGCATTTAGACAAGTGGCTCTAGGTGAAAAAGATTGCTTGTCCCTCCTGTAAATTGATCAGTAGAGATCATTTTCTTTATAGCTTCACTTACTAAAAAGAGTGCTATAAAATCAGATGAGCAGTTTGGACTATCAAATCCAATAGATTGCTCAGAGCAGGCCAAACTAAAGATTTCCTGGAAAATAGCTCTTTTGTGCCTATTTAAATTTGTAAAGCAAAGGAGAAGCTACTACTTTTCTAGATAATTGGTTCCACAACTGGAATGTCTTCCTGTGAGGATTTTTCAGTCAGGGCCTCTCTTCATGTAACTTATTTTTTTATGTTATTCTGGAGCAATAAAAAGCAAATCTACATTTCTTCTGGGTGACATCCTTGTAGATATTTGAGAAATGCTCTCACATGCCCCTTTCTCAAGGTTAAACACACCTGGTGTCTTTAAACTTTCTTCATACAATTTATTTACTAGTCCTCTAATAATCTTTGCATCTTTTCTAATTCCTCTGATTAGAGGAATTTTCTTTTAAACAGTGGTGTCCAGAACTGAACACAAGACTCAGGTCCAGACTTTTCAGCAAGGTCATCTCTTGCTGAATAGATTGTGTGGTTCATTTCATAAATGCAACTAATTCAGTGATTACTAATTTGCATATTCCAATTTCTTTGCTGCTCTACAATATCTTGAAAACAGTTTTATCTTTGTGGTGTAGTTACAGCACAATGCTAAAATAATTTGTTCCTGGTGGAGCCCCCTGTTTCTTCTTAGATTAGTCTCTACTGTATATTAATTTCTCAAAATATTGTGTCCTGTTTAAGTCACAGCATTTTTGATGGACATTAACAAACTAGTACAAATTCAGAGGAGAAAAAGCAAGATGTCAAGACAAAAAAAAATTAAGCTTATGGGGAATTGGTTGAGATCTTGGGTACATTTAGCCTAAAAAAAGAAGAGTTATGAGAGATATGTAGCTGTCTTCATGTTATGTGACGGGCTGTCATATAGAAGAGGGATAGAATTGTTGAGATATGTTCCATGACAAAACACGTTCCAAAGAGAAAGAGCTCTTCAATAGGTAATTTAATTATTTAATTAATAATGTAATAATTATTTAATTATTTTTATCACTGTTATATTTATTTTATCACTAATGTATTGTTTTTGGCCATTTGTTGGGGATATTGTAGTATTTGCACTGGGAAATTGGAAAGTTTGTAGACTGTATATTATCTTGAAATATTTTGGATTTCAATGTAAATCCATACATTTGAATGTACAGGTAGACATTTGGCCTTATTTCATGCATCCCTTTATTTAATTGTTCTTTGTGAATGTTGCAGCCTTGAATGTTCACTTCCTCAATAGCTATCTTCTATGCTTTCTATCTTCTTGTTTTATCTTGTATCTCAGGAAGTCCGACAACTGCAACAAAAACAAGAGGGTTTTGTAAAGGAAATAACTGATCTTCAAGAGACAATAGAATGGAAAGAAAAAAAGATAGGGGTAGGATTTTTGTAGCATTTTTATTTTATTTTTTTGAAATTTTCAATGTTCTCTTTTAAGAGAAAAAAGTTATAAATTCTGAAATAAAATGGGTCAGCATCAGAAGAATTTATTGGACTTCTACAGAACATCAGGCTTGCAGGATATTTAGGCTACAATCTATATTTTTTACTCAAAATGAACTGTCAAGTACTTCCAAATTTTCAAGTAGGTTTGATTCTAAAATATATTTGAATTAACACAAGCCTGAGCGAGAGCTGGCTGGAGCTGCAGGGCTGTCAGAGCTCAGTGGAAGCGCCAGGATCAGAGCCAGGCTCCAGCTGGAGCTCGGCGCTGATCCTAGCGCTTCTGAGCCCAGAAGAAGCGCCGATCAGCTAGAATGTTGCAGCATCCCCAGGGTCTTATGATTTACATTCAGATGTTTGGCAACTGATTTATATTTATGACGGTCACAGTGTCCCAGGGTCATGTGAAGTGACCAAAACCTGTTGCAACCACCCAGCAGATGGGGTGGAATAAAAACCGAACACCCCCCACCCCATTCCCGCTGCCAATCCTCAACAGAAATGCTCCCAACAATGAAAACCTTGGACAGGAGGAAGAGTGCTACCGGGCGGGCAGGCAGGTGTCTTGCTTGGCTGTGGCTTGAGGGGCACTTTTTCAGTGCTATTGTAACTTTGAACAGTCACTAAGCAAACTGTTGTAAATCGAAGACTACCTGTACTATCACTTTTTTCCTTTTTTTTTTTTTTTTGGTCATCAGGTTTTTGACACCTTGCTAGGCGAATGGTGGTACTCGGATATTGCCATATCCTAAAAGTGGTACGATGGGTGAAAAGATTGAAAAGCATCAGACTAGAAACCAGAATATGGTGAATTTTAGTCCCACCTTAGGCACAAAGCCAGTTGGGTGATCTTGAACCAATCACTCTCAGCCTTAGAAGCAGTCAAGGGCAAACCATTTCTAAACAAATTGCACTTGCCAGGAGTCAAAAAAATAAATGCTAAGTGGCTTCCTACTTTAGGGAGTGGGGCAAGGGCTTGGCTACACTGCTTTTCTATGGCCACTGCATTTCTTTGATTCGGCTTTCCAGTGGACCCTCATGTGTCTTTTGGAAACAGCTGACAACTAAGCTCATCCAGAGGATTTTTTGACACAATTCCATCTTGGCTGGGTTATAGTTTGGCTTTTTTATTTAATTTTCTTCTGTATTTTTCAATTATTTATAGATATTTCTATTTGGATATTTTTATTGTTTGTTATTTCTATTTTGTAAATTGATAAAAATTTGGGACTTTGGTGGTCTAAAATGTGGCAAATAAATTAGAGAAAATGATACAAATTATGCAGTTGTAGTTGAAAAATACCTTTGAAAAGAATTGCAGTGATATTTATATCTTTATAGGAAAAAGCCAGTTTAAAAACCAATTTAGCGGTTAAAGGATCAGGCTAGAAATTGAGCTAGGCTCTGAGATAAGGCTAGAAACAGGCTAGAGACTGTAAGTCAGAGGTCCCCCACCTTTTGGGCACTAGGGACCGGTTCCGCAGAGAGAGGTTTTTCTGCAGACCGGAGGTGATGTGGTTTTGTATGCTGCCTGCATCTCACGGATGGGGCTTTGTTTGTTTGTGCGGACCGGTTGCTGGCATGCCATGGCCTGGTACCGGTCCACATACCGGGGGTTGGGGATCCCTGCTGTAGGTTCTAGTTCTGTCTTGGGCACAAAGGTAGCTGGTGATCTTGGGCGAGTTACTTTCCCTCAGCCCTAGGAAGAAGGCAATGGCAAACCTTCTTGCCAAGAGAAACTTGTCCAGGTAGTCTCCCAGAATCAGACATGTATTTCTTGCAGGTTGATATTCACTTTTTTTTAGTCTAAATAAAAGATACATATTGTCTAAAAATTTTAGAAACTCTGTGGGAAAATTAAAAACAAAATGTAGTGAAAATCATTCTATAATTTCTGAAGTTTTAAATAGAGAGCCTACATATGTTGATTTGGGAAAAAAACATGTTTCCTAATACAACATTGTTTTGCAGAACAAAACAATATTATAAAAATTAAACAGAACTTTCAATGAAACTATTTATGTATTTCTTAAGTTATCTTTCTTACTTTATTATTTTTTTTAAAAAGACCTCAAACTAATATTGATGCTTGCTCACTCTTTTTCCAATATAGCTTAGGAGCTAAAGTGTTGAATGAATCATTCCCATGTTGATTGGAATGTGTCAACAGTCCCAACTCGGTCATTTAGCAAAGAAAAACTCCTGGCCCATTGTTCAGCCAAAAGTATACTTTACTAAAGCCAAAGTGGTTACAGAAGTAGTCAAGCTGGATCTGATGATTCCTTGATCTCAAAATGTTGTTCCTCTTCTATTAAGATGGGAGGGGGTGGTGGCTTTGTGGCAGGATGCAAGGATGAACCAGTGACAGCTTTCAAAAGACTGCAGTGGAAAACTGGATGTGTTTTTAGGCAATTTCAGTTCAACCATCACCGGATTTATGACACGGATAATGGGGAATGGCTCCACATATTTGGGACCAAGTTTTCTACAGGGCTATTGTGACTGCAGAAATTTGGTAGAAAGAAACTTTCTCTCCTACTTTAAATTCCTTCTGCAGAGCCCTCTTCTTATTGGCTTGTCTCTTATATGCTTCCCTCACCTCATCCAGCGCTTTACGGACCACAGTCCAGATGTTCTGCAGGGCTTGGATCCAATCGGCATGAATACTTTTACTAGAGTTTGTGTGGATGGAATCTTGGGATAAGCCACAAAGTGTCCTGTTTGGAGAACAGGTGCATGATAACTCAAATCACTGTGTTTCCTGTGCTTTCTGGTAATTCCACAATAAAGCCCATTGATATTTCCTTCTATGGGACTGTAGGGCTGGTGAAGGGTTGTAGCAATCCTGGGGTCCTGCTAGTGTCTTTTGGCTGAAGCACAGACCAGACAGCTGGCCACATAGTTCTCAATGTCCTTTTTTATATACGACCACCAGAATTGGCATTTCACAAAGTGGAGAGTTTTAACAAAACCAAAATGTCCTGGGGTCTTAGTGTCGTGGCTGCATTGCAGAACTAGGGTTTGCTGGCTTGCAGGCATGTACTATTTACTCCCCATCCATGCCAGGTCGTGCCTCAGCGAAAGTTCTTCATTGTGTAGTTGGAACCATTTGTCCTTTGCTAGAGCTATGTTGCCAGCTATCTACTCTTTTTGTTGCCTTGTGAGGGTTGATGCGGCTATTTGTTTGGAAAGGATGATGGAACTGACAACAATTTCTTTAGCACTGTTGTACTACGGCAGGGCTTTTCAACCAGTGGTAGTGGTACCACCTGTGGTACATTGGCACCTGGCAGGTGGTATGCGAGCACCCTAGAAAAGTGGTAGTGGGGGAGGGGAATGAACTGAACCGGTGGCAGCACCGCACAAGCCTGAGCGAGAGATGGCTGGAGCTGCAAGGCTGTCAGGGCTCAGTGGAAGCACCAGGATCAGACTCTAGCTGGAGCTCGGCGCTGATCCTGGTGCTTCTGCTGAGCCCAGAAGAAGAAGCGCTGATCAGCTGGAATGTTGCAGCATCTCCAGGGTCTTGTGATTTACATTCAGATGCTTGGCAACTGATTCATATTTATGACGGTCACAGTGTCCCAAGGTCATGTGAAGTGACTAAAACCTGCTGCAACCACCCAGCAGATGGGGGGGGGGAATAAAAACCAAACTCCCCCTACCCCACTCATGCTGCCAATCCTCAACAGAAATGCTTACAACAATGAAAACCTTGGACAGAAGGAAGAGTGCCGCTGGGCGGGCCGGCAGGTGTCTTGCTGGGCTGTGGCTTGGGGGGCACTTTTTTCAGTGCTATTGTAACTTTGAACAGTCACTAAGCAAACTGTTGTAAGTCGAGGACTACCTGTACTTTATCACTTTTTTCCTTTTTTTTTTTTTTGGTCATCAAGTTTTTGACACCTTGCTAGGCGATTGGTGGTATTCGGATATTGCCATATCCTAAAAGTGGTACAATGGGTGAAAAGGTTGAAAAGCCCTGTACTATGGCATTCTAGACAGGGCATCCACCAGGAAATTCTTCCCTCTGGGGAGGTAGCAAAAGATGAAGTTGAACCAGTTGAAGTATTGAGCTATCTGATTTGTTTGGGAGATAGCTTTCTGGGGTTTTTTTTAGCGCTTCCAAGTTCTTGTAGCCAGTCCAGATTTCAAAAGGAACCTTGCTGCCCTCTAGGAATTGCCTCCAGGTGAGAAGAGCCCAGCAAATTCCATAAGCTTCCTTCTCCCAGTACCTTTCTGCTTTGGAGAGTTTGTGCAAGGTGTAGGTATAGGGTTGTCGCTTCCCTTGTGAGTTCTTTTGGAGGAGCCCTGCCCCCACTGTCACATTGCTGGTGTCCACCTAAATGACAAATGGTTTATCTGGACCAGGGTGCTTCAACACTGGCTCAGCTGCAAAAAAAGTGTTTCAGTTTCTTGAAAGCAAGTTGGCATTCTATTGTCCATTTCAGCAGTTGGCTTGGCTTAGGTTTAGTGGTTCCTTTGGTTTTTAAGAGATTCATGATTGTTAGTGCTATTTGGGCAAAGGCTGGGATAAACTTTTGGTAAAAGTGAAGACAAGGAAGCTTTGCAGCTGCTTCCCACTCTAGGATGACACTCACTTTCACCAGGTCCATTTCTATAGTCTCCTGGGAATCCGGTATCCCAAATAATCAAGTTTAGTCTTGTGAAATTCATACTTGGAGAGTTTTGCATACAATTGGGTCCCCCAAAGTTTCTTGAGCACTGCCCTCACTAGTTCCACATGCTTTTTCATCATCTCAATGTAAATTAAAATATCATCCACATACATCAATACCCCTTTGTATAAATGATCATGTAGCATCTTATTTTCAACTGCATGAACATTGCGGGGACTTCCTGTGGCCCTAATGGGAGCATTCAGTATTGGAAGCAGCCCAATGGGCAGTTAAATGCTGTTTTCTACTCATCCCCTTTCTT